TTGATCAGGTTTCGGAGCTTTGTTCTGCATCGTTTTCCACAGCCCGTGTCACACCAACTTCTGCTGGCCGAATGACCCGGTCATGTAACTTGTATCCGGCCTGCACGATCAAATACAGATATAACATCCTTCACTCCTTCAGGAAGCGTGCGACATAAGTAGTTAAGATAAAACGGGAACCTACGGAAGTAAACATCACTCCAATGATACTTCTGCTTCCTAGTCTAATAATAATAGCTGCTGTAATACTAATTGACCAAAATAAATTTCCAAAACGAAACAAATATGTAGAGGGTTAAATGCACTCATGATGTCAGGCACCATATGACAATAACTTGTTCATCTGTCTAAACGAACATTCATATCTATATCTAAATTGAGAATTCTTCAAATCAGACCAAAATTGTCAAACTTCCCCTCCTGCAGTTCATGAAACCATATTAAATTCATGGAAGGGGCAAAATTGATATATAAAAGTTACCTTCAAAACAACTGCAACAGTGTTGGGAGGCTTGGAAGGATCTGGTACTTGAAAAACGGCATTATGCCTATGTGGATCAAATTCTTCATCTACCGGATCATATTTTTGCAATCCATATTTTTTGAATACCTGAAAGTGATAATTAATCGATATATTTTTAACTGATAAGGCAATGAGGTTAACACTCTATAGATCATGTGATATGGTAATCATTCACTACTCCAATCCATAACATACTATGGTGACGTAAGAGGGAAACTACATGTACATTGCTTAGGGCAAGAAAATCAGACCTCAGCCAGCTGTTTTTCAGTCATTTCAACACCTTGCAGAAGTGTTTTTAGAAGTGGCACAGCTCCAACAGCGTCTTTGGATGCATCAATCTTCAAGAAATTGTCTTTCACAGCCAAAGAAGCCCTACTAAGATTATCTGCAACATCCAATAAGTTCTTGGCAAAATCCTATGACAATACCCAAATAAACAGAATCAGTACTTCTAGATACAAAAACTGTGCTTCAAGAATTCTACACAATGTCTACACAGCTTGGCTGGTTTCCCAGCTTGAAGAATTTTTTTGGGACTTCCTAGTCTTGCATTATTATTTGTTTTTTGCAGAAAAGCGATCCATCTGAGTGGAGCTAAAAATTAATGTGCTATGGCTAGTCATACAGGATGTTTTGACATAATTTTTCAGCATACATAAGAAAGGGTGTTTTTATTTTTTTTGGGGAGGGGGGGGGATTTGAAACAGGTTTGCTGTGCATAAGATAACACTGATGCATGTGAGATAAACTAAATATCGTTGTTATAAACCTGAACGGCAAATTTTTTCAGGTTTTCTGCATCACGTTTTGTCCTATCCATGGAATTTTGCATGTCAGCATAAGTACGAAGAGCTTTATCTTGCAATTTCTGCAACTCTTCGTGCTTGATCTTCAATTGTTCTTCCTTCTCCGCCACAAGTTTCACGAGGTCATCCCGCGAGAGATCACCCTCTGAATCTGAATCTGAATTAGAAAATGAAAACCATTTAGTTTTTCTTCTCCTTCTTTTGACAGATTGTGATGTGATAGAGTTAGGCTCCACATTAGAACCTGATACATCTTTTTCGTCCTTAACTTGAGAATCCGTAGAAGCTGATGCTTCAGTTTTATCATGAACTTCTGTTTCTGTACTTGTTCCTGCAGCAGCAGCATCACTTCCATTTTCTGCTCCGGGTTGTGCTGTATCCTTCTCATTATGTTGCGGGGAAGCAGATGATGAAAAACCAAACAGTTGAAATGGAGATCCATTCAGAAAGGAGCGATGTAATAAAGCCACTTGTCCTGAAACCACCTGGAGCAAGAAAATAAGCTGCATTATTGCTTTTTTCTCGTAATAAACTCCCTACTTAAAAAACACAAAATAGAACCCTTCTAAGTGGAATTCATCCAATTTAAACCAATTATTAGACTTCAACCAAAAAAGTATAATCAAGTAACAAAACTTCAGGTAACAGTTTTACACCAATAGATAATTAAGAACAACTGTTGATTAGTGCATGAATTTACCAGAACAAGACAACGTCACTGCAAAAGTGATTGCCAAACTTTGGTAACTTAAAAGCTTACATTTTCAGGGAGAGTTTAATCTAAGCAAAGGTTGAAAAACAATAAACAAGTCAAACAATTACACTAAAAAAATTCCAAACTAAACAAAACAAGAACATTACGAATCTCAAAAATTGAACATTTACAACAAAAGAACTGAAAAATCCTATCCATATTCAAACGAATCATAAAAATTTAATCTTTAGCAAAAGAAACAACAGCAAGACATATAAAAGATCAAATAAAATCATCCAAAACAATTGAGAGAGTCAAACATCAGGAAAGAGAATAACAAATGGTCAAATTAACTAACATAACCGCTTAAACCCTAGCAAAACCCTTTTCACTAAAACCCGTAAAAACGTAAACCAATGTCAAAATTGGATCAGAAGAAGACCTTATTTCGGGGTTCGACAAGGGAGTGGTATTGACTGGAGCGAATGGGGATAAATGGTTGCTCTTGGCGAGCCAAGAGAAGCAACGAGTTGCGGCACTGAGTCACCATGGTTCGAGATGAACGAGCTGCAATTCTACTCACCAACATGACTGAAAGTTGGGATTCTCGGGCAAAATTCGGGATGAAATAGTTAAGATTATAAAAGGCTAAAGCTGTAAGGAGGAAGATGATGGAGAAGGCCTTGAGAAAACAGGGATAGAAAAGCAAGGAGAAGAGGCGTGCTTGGGGAGAAAGAAAAGGTTAGGATGGAAGGTTGGAGAGAAGGAAGTTATTATTGAATGACAAAAATAACCTCATTTCTATTGCACTTGAATTATTTTTTTTGAAATATTGTGTGATTATTATGTGGTAAAATCTTTTACAAAACCAAATACTCCTGTAAGTAAAACACGTTAAATAATTCTTAAGATTCTCCTCACTAAAATTGAAGAAAAAAAGAAAAAGAGAGTATACTTGAGATTTCGTGAAAAATATTTATTAAAATAGTTATATTTATATTCTTTTTTTTGTAAGAAATATTCGTTCTCTCTTAAGAGTATATAACTAATAAAAAGCAGTCTAATTGATAAAATTCTTTATTAAAAAGAGGTAACGGATTTGGATCATTAAATGAGAAAATAAAAAATTATTGTCAATCCTCTCTAATAAAAAATGTGAGTGATAATATGATATCATGTACCAAGTTGTAACTAGTTGGACTAAAGTTAATATATAGTCTTTCTGTAGGCATACTGGGAATTAAAAGGAATAATCAACAGAGTAAAATTTAAAAAAAAAAAAAAGGGAAAAAATATCCTATCTTGCCTTGGAGAATTTTCGAATGGTTGACACGATTCACGGGGGTAGAAACGTCCAGTTGTTGGAGTTCTAGGAAGAGGTTGGATTAGAAGCATCGAGAAGCTTGTAACTTGTGGTGACGTGATTGGGCCAAAGGCGTTACAAAGTTCATAAGCGTACCACCGATGTAAATGTGGGCTGGCGCCAATTTTAGCACGTCCCATAGAGTTTGTTTGGACAAAGATAATTTGGTTTGTAAAATTTATTTTCACAAATTTCAATCACCTTTTTATCTTTCCAATCACCTTTTTATCTCATATACATCATATCACAAAAAGTGCTACAGTAAATATCTCAAATAAATCATCCAAATAAACTCTTATCCGCCCCCCTTGGTTAGCTCGGGTGGCCTGTGTAGCCTCTTTAGGTGAGACAGGTCTGGGGTTCGACCCTGAGCTCGAGCAACCGGGGTAATTTTCTGAGGATCGGTGGGGCCCACTCTCCTCGGGGTTGGGGGATTAGTCGGGTGCAGGCTCGGATACCCCCAACTGAAAAAAAAAAAAAAAAACTCTTATCCAAACAAACTCAATTGTGTTGCGCCGATTAGATTGCTACTTTTTAGGAATTTTTTTGTTAATATCTTTTTTATATTTTTTAAATTATTTTTTTATTTTACATACATCACATTTTAAAAAATACTATAACACAATATCACATTTTAAAATGTACCAAAAACATTCTAAAAAATGCAATCCAAAGAATCTCAAATCTCAAAGTCTTCTTGAAATTATTAGAAAAGAGATGGATGATTTGCTGGCACGCTCGAGCAAAAATGCATAGTTTTCGACTTTTTATAGGAAGAAATGGTAAATTTACTCAGTTAAGTTCTGGAGTAGTTTAGCACAGGAGAAAATTTTGTGAACCAGTTTTGCTCCAGTCTCTTAGATATAGGTAAATTGGTACACCATCTTTTTAAAGCTAACACATATTATTCGGTGAATTTTTAAAATTTCTGTTGTTACTACATTGTTAACAAATAGATGTCAAGGTCTAAAGGATCACCAAGGATATTAGTAATTAGGTAAATCATGAGGCTTCAGTCACAAATCCTCCACCTTCCTCTTTCCTTGTGTAAGGTTTAGGATCTTTTCATTATTTAATGAAAAAAAAAAAAAAAGATTAGAAGAAAAAAGGGTCAAATTGATACCGGTGTTTTCCAACCCATATGGAATTTTTTCAGAAATCATTCAAAATCCAAAAGAATTTGGTAGGAGTTCAATGGCTTGTTTTGTTCTCTGATTTTCGTGATACGTTATATTATGTGCAGTTTCAGTACATGCTCATTCACTATCAAAACCCAAGTTATTTTAGATTTTCACGTTCAAATTCGCCATATTTTCAGGTGCAGCAAGAGTCTTCAGCATCTATAGTGAGGCCTTTGACTGTTTATAATGTTTAGCAGTGATTTGACATTAAATTGAATGTATCTTTTGGGTTTTGACACTGTGGAAGGAAGAGAGCTGACCGCAAATTGTCATCGCATTCATGCAAACCCCATACAATCACTTAGTAACGTCAAATTAACAGATCAGAGCAGAGCATATGAAGCAAGCAATGGAGAAAATTTTTCTAGCACCTTGTGTGTAGACATAAACCACAAGTACACGCTTCAAATCAATGAAGTAGCTCAATCAAACAAGCAATCCTGAACCTGATGACAAGAACGCAATAAAATCCCGAAACAAAAATATAATATGTTATCAAATCGGGGGTCAGTAATGGAAGAAGATTGTAGTATATCAGAATGGAGGTTGTCTAACATAGTAAAAGCCTGTCCAGCCATAATATTGGTACCCATAACCTTCATCGTGATGATGACGGTCCCCATGATAATCGTGATGATGACATTGGAACCCACAGTGTTGATGAGCATACATGTCCTCCTCTTGATGAGGCGTCGCAAAGTGAAATTGGTCATCACCATCATCAGAATTCAAGCAATGATCTTTATGGACAAACACTTGCTCTTCCTCCGCATCAGATTCAGACTCAGAGTCGGTACTGTCAGGAAATGTTACGGTATATTCTTGATCAGGACACAAGCACCCGTCAGGCACCTTCGATAATTCATCAGCACCAGAGTCGGAGTCGGAGTCAGGAAACGTTACAATATAGTCCAACACATGACTCTCTTTCTCCTCCTCCTCCTGCTCCTCGTCTTTGGTGTCGTCGGCACCACTAGAATCTGTTGAGTATTGAATGGGAAGTGGACAGAAAACTGGTGGTACACTCTTTGGTGAATGAATTGCAGCCGGTGTATGATCAGCATGATCACTTTCGCTAGGAGAAGAGACGGAAACACGAGGGGTGGGCTCGCCACAAAGATGAGGATTAGAGGTTCTGTCGATTTTGAAAATTTTGCCGAAGTTGCAAGCCATCATAAATTGGTGTATTTTGGCTCCTACGTTGGCCATCAGATCCTTCAAGGCCTTCTTTGGATGCAAAAGGGTTTTTGTCGATCTAAGAAACGACATATTTGGTGACCACAGAGAAGGTGAATATCTATTGAATGGGGCGGAAACGGTAATAACGTAAATTTGGTATGATATCGTTTACATATACAACATATTCGGACTCCAGCCATCTTTTGGTATGTTCTCAATACAAAATATTGAGAAGCAATATTTTTTGGTATGTTCTTACGCTTACGCAGTGGAAGAGTGGAATACCATCAATTATGAGAAGGCAAATCTTGGTAAATTTTGTGTCTTTGTTAAGATTTCTCTTGTTTCCTTTTACGCCATGTATCTGAGAAAAAGGAAATGTACTTGAAAACGCTGAGTTTAGTAACAGTATCTGGGTAGGAACTATATTAGTTTTGTAAATGGAATTATATATTATTTTTGTAAGAATGCCAAGAAAATCAAAAGACAATACGATCTGAATAATTATTCATGTCACTGCAAATTTCACACTAGCTCGCCTATTCGAAGTGTACAGCGTCCTAGTTTTCCGCATAAATCATGCCGTCAGAAGAAGTTGAACGTATGGGCGGCCAATCATCAGCAATATTCTTCTGATTTCTCTTACCCAAAAAAAGCTGCTGTTATTTGATAGCAGATATATGCATATCAATCATATGGATTCCGGAAATTCTTAAGAAGTTCTGGGATATCGTATCCAAGCATATCATCAACAGATTGTACTCCCTCCGTCCCACTTTGATAGTCCTGTTTTTCTTTTTCATCTGTCCCAAATTGTAGTCCACTTTCCAATTGAAGAATGTAATTGTATTTTAATTTTCCTAAAATATCCTTATTCAATGTAAGTTGTTGTTACTATAAACCTACCCCATTTAATGAGAGTTGATTCTTTTTTTATCATCAATTCAAGTTCCCATAAAGTTGTACTCTAATTAATATGAGGGTATTTTAGAAAAATAGCTACCTAAATTGATTGTTCCAACAAAGTTAACTACTTTTTCTTAAACTATGTGAAAAAAAAATCAGGACTATCAAAGTGGGACGGAGGGAGTATCATTTTAGGCTTCAATTTCTCGAACTTATCAATGCTATAACCACTCGGGCCTCCCGAAAGTGTTCAACCTTCGGAAAATCCCCCGCTGGCAGATGGAACTCCCTCTGAACCTGTTAGCAAACAAGAAATAAACATAATTGTGATATTTCTCTGTACAATTGTGATATTTCTCTGGTCCAATGAGAGCACCTGTGAAAATAACGCATAAAATGATCAGAAAGGTCCTATCTTCTGAGGAGATGTTAGAGTAGATACGCAGACTCCGCATGAAGGTCTAAATACCTGGATAACTCGTTTTGAGCAGATGTTTAATGAATGTTGTTTTCCCAGTTGAGTATTGACCCAAAAACCATCACCATGGGCTTAGCATCAAAATCGCTATTTGTCTAGGGAAAGGAACAATCCAGTCAACTATGATTTCAGTTAATTAAGACAATGGAATCACAACCATATCCAATCCCTCAAGTGAAGAACAAAGCAGATGCATGACTCACCAACAAAGGGGAAACAAAATCATTGAAACGATATGTTGCTTCCAATGGCTTCAGTTTTTGGACGTACAACTTCTTCAATCCATCAATAATTGATGTAACAGAGCTTAGAGACACCTGACAGGACACAAAGCAAAAGCAAAGCTCATTATAGGACCCAAAACAGTAAGTAAAGTGTGTTTACAAACAAATGGTCATTTGTTAATGATGCAAATTTAATCATCAAGAGACAAGTTCTTGCACATTAAGAAGTGCTCTTTGTGGAATAGTGTTCAAGTCCTACTAGCATACTAGTTGATGTACTACGGTACATATCAAACTTTTTCGTCATCTTGTCATGCACTAGAGTCCTATGGCAGCTTCGATAATGTCCTCAGAAGATATATCAAATCTTCCAGTCTGACCTCTCTACAGCCCCAAATCCATTCTGTTTATCATCTCGTTGCATCACATTACTTTGAAACATAATAGAGAGTATTGTAAAACAGTTTACCCAACACTAGAAATAAAAGTCTATAAAGAGAACAGAAAATGCAAAGAATTAAATAACATGGATTGTGTAAACTGTATCGATGCAAAAAGTATAGGAAAAAGTGCAATATTTCATCCTTTAGAGACAAAGTAATTGTTACAATGCACCTTCTTTGCAGACTTTGACGAAGAAAACCAATTAGCAGATGGTGAAGACTGCAACTGAGGAATGCCTGGATTGCAGAACAGATATGAACTTTACGAACTCAGGTCTCTAAACAAGGAAAAGAGGGAAGAAACACAAAATATGTAGCTAGATCAATAACAGTCTCACCATTTTGTTCTAGTTCACTTTTCGGTGTATGCTTTTTCTTCTGCATAAATGCAATAACAAAGTGAGAATTATCAGTGAATGATCCAAGAAATTTGCAAAAAGAATTAGGTAGGACATTGGTATACTCACAGCTAGTAGCGCATCCAACCCTTCCATTGCTGGAGGTTTCAGACTTTCAAAGTCAACTGCAACAATTATAATTTGCTAAAATAGTAAGGCTAACATTTGAAAAGATACAGTAGATTCCAAGATAGACAGGACCAGAAAGCATCAGGCATAAATTCAGAAATTAATTACAAATCAAGCATTAGTATAATGCTCACTCTAGGATGTTCATCCTGTGTAGATTTTGCCAAGATAGTATGAGATCTTTAATGTTCAAAAGACAACAATGTAAACAAAATATCTCTCATTTTAAAATATGTTGCTTATCCTAAGAAACGTCTGCCATTAAGAAAATAAAGACTTCTACACCATCACATAAATCATAATCCAAAGTTTACCTGGTCAATCCTTCTTTCACACTGGATGAATCTTTGAGCTAGAAAAGAAACTCAATAAAATGATGTACAAAGTTTAAGCAGGAGCATACTCACCTCCCCCTCCCCCACTTGATTTTGCAGTTTCTAGTTTTCCATATTGTTTCTTCTCTTCATCGTCCTTACTCTATTTGTTTCAAATATAGAAGACCGTCTACATTACAGCTAATTGCCTGAAATTTGTAGGACATGTAATTCAGGTTTCTGTCAACGCTATCTCAAGATGCCTTCTGAATTTGTTGCCCTAATAAAGGATTTGAAGACACAGCAACAGCATGTTGCGGGACTGGAACTTTTGAGATGCTTTACTCATGTGACAGGTATAACCCTTTCAGATGCAGAGATGCAACCAAATATGCATTCTGGGATTCTTTTCATGCCACAGAGAAAACGAATGGCATAATAGCACATCATGCCATAAAGAATTCTCTTGCACTGTTTGCTACAGAAAATGTTTTAATGTGTTCAATTATTGAAAAACTTGACTAATTTGTCAAACTGTTGAATCAGTTAAATTTTCTGACCTTTTCTCGTGAGGTTTCTTTCAAGAAAAAAAAAAAAGGAAAACTCTAAGCAGTTAATGATACGCCTGATGCAAAGAATCTAGAGGGAGAAAAAACAAATAGCACCTGAACGCAATGCTTTCTCTGTATAGCCATACAATGAAAAGTTAAAAACTAAAAACCAGAGTCAAAGAGAGTTCATTATCATTGTAATGGGATTTTTCTCATGACGGCAGCGATAACCAATAATATATGTAGAGCTGATATCCATGTATGTCATATTACTAACTACAACATTTGAGAAAAATTCTGAAGGCAGCGATGGAAAGGATAACCTGCCAACTCGCCACTAACAGAAATAATTCCTCGACCATCTGACTATTACATAAACTTTCTGTTTTCATCCGATCTATAGAAAGGAATGCGAAAGCAAGAGTTGGTGTCAGCCGTCTTTGACTTGCAAACGTGAAGATCATTTCTGCTGCTTCGGGAAATGCAGCTTAATCAGCATAGGAAGTTCAGCAAGATCGACTTGGCCTTTACCCAACAGAATTTGCTTCAATTTAGCATCACAATTGACCAGATTCTTGTTATTTGGATCCTAACGAAAACCAACAGAAAAGCAAAGGTTAACTAATATTAAAAAAAAAAAAAGAAAAGATACACCCAAAGTATCAAAACTACGAGCACTCGAGTATTTCTCCTGACCATTCGATTCGTAATTCAACCTTGCATCATAACTGCTTAACCATGCTGTTTCAAAAATTTTCCAGACATAAATGTGAATACCGAAGGAATGGCATTGAGCAATAAATCTCAAACCTGGAGTTTGTTCTCCTTGATGTACGACCAAACACGCGTAAAGCACCCCAAACGCGAGGTCTGCGACTGGCCCGTGAATTCTCTGAGCGTTGAGGGCAGGTTTACAAGGTCGATCAAGTCAGCAAGTTGTTTTGGGTTGTCGGTAATGACCTTTTTCATCCTCTGAGGCAGCATTTTCCTTCCCACTGCAACCTACAAAATGCGGTAATAATGTCAAGGTTCTTGATTTAATCATATAATAATACGTGCCGTTTCATTATCATGGTACATTACAGCAAAATCCCACGACTTTGATGGCACGCTGAACCAAAAAACTGGCAATTACGTTTACATATCCCAACCAGAAAGCTCCATTTCAACAACTTCAAGAAAAGGTAAGCCACTGACCATTTCTCGAACCTTTGTACGTAAAATCCAACAAGGTGCTAATACAGGCACGAATTTTGGTACAAGTGTTTGATAAGCAAGGTGTTTACAGTAGTTACACAGGGTTCAACATTCTCAGGGGAATTTCAACAAGCGCTTCATAAACATAATAAGCATAGTGCTAGTAACAACGCCTCCATGAATAGCTAAACAAATTAGTCTTGTTTATGAATTTCGACCCCAAATAGATTAATGATCACTGATTCATGTAAACTATTCTTATGATGCTTGACCTGTGCATTTTTACCTGCTGATTTGAGGTACAACTTTTTTGTACGACGTCGTCAGCGAGAAGTTTCGTGGAGAATGCCACTGAGATTGAGCTTGAGCTTGAGCTTGAGCGTCTTCTGCTGCCAAATAGGGGTTTCCACTGCGGGCCTTGGTTTCGAATCAATAATTAATTAGTTCTCGAGGGTCCTAATTATACTCTTATACTGATAACAGTACTAATTTTTACCTTATTCACCTAATCCAATTCTCCCAACATAACTACTCATACCTACTTAAAGTATTGTAATAATAATCCACAATCGCTTTAAGTATCATAACAATTAAATTATTGTAACCTTATAAATCAAAGTTCTTTAGAAAAATAATATGAATATAATTTATGTTAAAAAAAAAAAGCAAAATCATACAAAATTAATTCATTTTAAATATTTTAAATTGCACACACATTAAATGTGCCCTTACACCAGTACAAATAAAAGAGCATCAAAATCCCTTCAAATGCAACAAAGTTTTTAGTGTAGTCTATATCTCTTTCATTAATACAATTTGTCATTTATCATATATTATGGTAATTTGTACCTTTTTTTTAAGATACCTAATTGCCTTAAGAAAAAAAAAAAAAAGAAGAAGACAGCAAAATAAGGATCAAAAAGTTCCATAAAACTGCATTAATTTGTTAACTTCTTTACCTTCTTGACCAGTAAAAGTTGAATCTTTATCAAATTTCTCTTCTTGAATAGACAAAAGAGCACCAGGAGTAAATCGACGGCTTGGCTGAGGCTTAGGATGATCATGTGAACCCTTATACACAATTTCTGTTATTTGCCCCTCAGGAGAACGTTCAAATATCTTTTTCACTTCACAGTTAGGATACGTACATTTGTAATAGCTTCGAGGAAATTCACTTCCTTTTACAAGTTTCTGTCCATATTTTCGCCAATTATACCCATCGTCTGATGACCTGTCATTTGCAACTGATGACGTTGTATCTTTACTATCAGAATTTGATACTTGATTGCTGATATTTGGATGATTTTTCTGATTCAATACATCAGAATCAACAGCTATAGTAGCACTATCTGATATTGTGGTTGGTGCAGAAAAATTTGACTCTTTTGCCATCACCACCTCATGTTTAACCAAAGATGAAGATACTAATGACTGAGGAAGGCCCGAATCTGGAACTTGTCCAAGTGACTTATTATGCTGCTGGACTAAACCTGATGACACCTTCAAAATAATTCTGCAAGTAAGATTCCAGTAACCCCCAAAGCGGCAAACTAAGCAGTTAATGAACAGTATTGAACAAATCCACATATTTTAGCTCTTGAGATTTTGTTTAGCGTCGGGACATACTTACTATGACATAATATGGTTGCTGATAAAGGGCAGTCACAGGAAATGAAAAATCTTCTCTTCTCCTTTTGGTTAATAAAAGTTCCTCAGAAGAGGCGAAAAATATTTCCAAATGTATAAATACCATAGTCTTGTTCCATGATATTACTTATAATGAGAAAAAATTAAACCCAAGAAAAAAAAAACCAAAGATCTAATCCTTATGATTATGTACTCTTTGGCATGTCAACATAAACTTAGTCACAGGAAGGAAATAATGCACCAGTAAACAAAAGGCAGCTACACAATTTTTCCAAAAGAGAAACTCATCAGTCAATGGTTGGTTTCAAAACATTCTCATTACATATACATAGTGGTGCAGCATATAACTTCATTTTTTACACAGAATTTTTGAACAACAATATTTTTTTGATCTTTTTCCATCATGAGAACTTCAACAGAAGAAGAAATGGTAGCAAGTGAACTTCTAATAGCATAATAATATCCTAAGTTCAGGGTCATGAAATTTTAGAAAATAAGAGATCATTTCTACCTTGTTAAACAGGGAAAGGCTATTCACAATAAGCAAAGAAATATTAAGCGGACCATCAACATCAACAGCTTTCAAAATCATTCTTGCCTTATAGCCCCTTTTTTACTCACCAAAAACACACCAAACTAAAAATCCTTCAGGAGATTATCATTAGAAATGCTTAAACAACTTTGACCTCAGAGACTGTATAAGAGTACCTAGGTTCTCAACAACATAGAAATTTGAATAATTGTTTAAATCAACTACACAAGTACATTAAAAGTGATCAAATTACCGCAAGTCCAATTGGTCTCAATCCTGCTGCATCGCCTGAATCAGCATGGAACTGAAACTCAAAATTGCAGGAATTCGTCTTGTTTACAGTATTCAGACTGGAACAGTTTGTGAGATATGAAAATCCGGATGTCCCACTACAGCCTTGCATCATTTGAGGCATAGAAAAGGTGCCTGTAGTTGGAGAAGGCTCTGCCTGCAAAATTACAAGGGTGAAGTTAGCAGAATTAAGTACTAAAAAATCAACAAACAGGAATTAGCAGAATGAAATTAAAGAGCAATTGTTAATCTTTTTCTTCTGTTTTCCCACCCAACTTCTTGCCTCTCTATCTTCAGGGGGAGGAACTGAAGGGAAATTGTTAGTCTTTAAATGTTTATTGTCCTGGCACTCCAGGAGTGATTTCAAGAATGATTGAAAGTAGGTCCCTTCTTAGTAACAACAGTGCTCATTAATTTGAAATATGAGACCTAAAACTTCAACGTATCAGATGTGTTTCATGAGTTTCACACCAACAGAAGTGAAAAGATGTGTTCCTCTCTAGATGCCAAGAACAACTTAGTACGTGATTTTATGCATATGCAACATCATTTGCCCTATAAGAGCAACAACGGAAAAGAAGGAAGCACCCAAAAAGAAAAAGAAGGCAAAGATTCATTATGTGAAAAAACAACACTGAAGCTTAAAAAGTAAACCCAGAAAGCAAAATGTTCTAGAGAACATGAGGCATAAATCCACCAAGAAACAAATACAATACACCTCAAGTGCGAGCATCAGAATCTACGTCCTGAGACATCCACGCTAAAACACAAGTTCGCACATAATAAACTAGATATTCTCCACATAGCACTGAGATGGTAGACAAAAAGGAAATGATCCCAACAAAGTGAAATGTGATGATAAGAATCAGACATCCCATTAGAAAACTTCATATTCTCAGCCTACTGAGCGCCCAAGATGGAAAAAGGAATTAAAACGGACAAATTGCGACGTGATGTAAGGAACCAAACATCCTATCATTAATTGAAATGGTACTATCCACAAATAGACTACAAAGCATTTTACAAAGCAGACCTTCACATCATCCAATTCCTCAAATTCTCCACTAGACACTAAGACAGACATCTAACATCATCAAGGCACTCAGTTTCGCGACACCCTTGACGTCAACAACAACATCCCATTCCCCCAACCAAAAAAGAAAAAGGAAAAAAAAAAACATTTGAGCTGTAAAAGATGTCCAAGTTCAGAACCATTCTTTTTTCATATTTGTAGCCATTTTTTTTTATTTTAGGAAGTACGGTGTCTAAATGAAACAGAAAATGGGTATCGGATCGGAATCTGAACCTAAAGCTAAGGCTAGTTTAATTTTTACTACCAGAAGTAAAGAGGGAAAAGAAAAAGGCTCTTGTTCTTCCACTGAAAAGTAAAATCAAAGCTGAAGATAACCCATTTAATCTAAAATAAAAAGCTAACCTTGATGTTGGAGAGTAGAACAGGGGATTCAAGAAACGACGTCGGGCTAAGCCCAGGTGGGATTGTGAGGGTACAAGGTGACCTAGAGATCGGGAGCTTGGCCGGAGACATGAGCTTATACTTAGCACCGCCACCACCGGCGGCGGCGGCGGCGGAGTGGTGGTATGCTGCAGCAGCTTCTGAGTAATTTCCATTTCCATTTCCATTTCCATCCCTGACTCGCCGGAGAGATGAAGTCAGCCGGCCGTCCATCTCCACATTCGAACAAGCACCACTTTGCTGTTCTTCTACTTGCTGTTGCTGCAGCAGTTCGAAGGCGTGAGGGGAGTGATAGCGTGATTGCAGTGAGGAGGCTTCTTCCATTGGAAAAGCTGAAGAGAACGATGGTGGGAGGACGAGGGAGGACCTCTTTTTGCTGCTTCTTGTTTAATGGGGGAGGGCTATTTTGGTAAACTTACGTTCAGGGGTGCTTCAGTAAATTCGAGTTTTCCTCTGAAACCTGTGCGCGGATTAGCATTGGACCGATGTCTTTGTATTTATTGAGTAGATAGAAATACACTACTCCTGGAAGAAGCTTTTGTCTTTGCACCGTATTAGGGGTATGATTGTAAATACGGAGTTGTGTGCGCGAGTAGACTTGTCAGTAAGGGACCAGTAGTTTAGCAGTTTTACTGGGGTTGTAACATACGTGGATTCTGGACCTCATTGCCTTGTCTCTTTCCCGGTGTTTTCGAACTTCTTGTCTTAAAACCTTTTCCCATGTTATATAGTTCGTTGAATTAGAGTAAATTTTATATACACTGATAATATATATATTATCATGATTAGATACACGATATATATATAAAATTTAAATTTAAATTATGTGTCACGTATTTAATGATGAAAATATATACACTATCAAATATAAAAGATTAATCCATAAAATTGTGCGTTGAAGTAAAATTGCACTCACAATTGTGCGTTGAAGTAAAATTGTACTGAAACTCTTTCTTAATATGTGATATATGTAAAATAAAATTGTGATTTTAAAAAATACGTAAAAGAAATATTTTTGAAAAAACGTACAAATTCCGTATCAAAAAATCACAATCCAAACAACACCTCTCATTGAACAAACAAGATGGATTCCTCTTCTTACTCAAAAATTGTTATTATTGCTCGGTCCTCACGACTTAGGCCTCAACTCTCAAACTTTTTTCTTTGATTTTCTTTTCAAAAGATTTGAATTCTCCATTAGTTCAAAAAAGTCAGTAGCATATTAATTGTTCTTAGTGGTTTTTGTACTCTCCGCTCGGACTTATGAGCAGAGAAGCGAGCAGCATTCATTTCACTAGCAACGACCAATGGGATAAAGAGTGATTACTACGTTTAATCCAACTTATGCATCAAAACTATGATTTGCAACACTTTATCCGCTTTTCTTCTGCCTTGCATTGCTTTTATACGGAAAAGCGGAATTTTGGTATTCTTAACAAGACATTACATAGAAATGTTTGCTAAAGACTAATTAAGATTAAGAATGTATTCAAATATATGGTGTGAGGTTAATGGATTTGGTATCAAGATAACTATAGTACTAATTGCGTTTTTGGTTAAGAAATCACTATTAGGTGACTAATCAAATAGTTAGATGCAAAGAACCTGAGTATTGGTGGAGAATCATCATTCACTTTATATTGTTCCCCATTGACAAGCTACCATAAAATCAAAATTGGAGAATTTTATGCTGAAAAAATTAGGGCTCATAGGTGACCTTCTTTCTTTCCTTCTTTCTTTGTTTTTGGTTTAGGAAAAAAAAAAAAAAAAAAAAAAAGAGTTTAGGTGACAATATGTTATTCATGGAAAGCAAACGGAAAGCGTGGGGTTCCATTTCATGGAGCGGATTCCAAATGACGAACAAGTGTGTCAGTTGTTGTTACTAGTACTTATTTTCATTACTTCTCTTTTAATTTCCTCCCCCTCCTCCTCGTTTTCTTTAGATCTTCTGCTTGATTAAGCAAGATTTCATTATTCATGTCCCATCACTCATCTTCTCCTTGTTTTCTTCCTTTTTTCTTTTTTTTTTTTACCCTGAATTCTATGTTATCTTTTACTAGTCAAAAAAATTTCACCTAAATCATTTGTCTTCCTAGAACCTTAGAGATTTTAGTGGACTATTTTATTCCAGTTCTATAAACGTCATGTGATTCTTCAAAGAATTCACGAATATATGCGCCACTCGGGCTCCAGAAATTACTACAAAACTTAGAAAATCGTTTTTATAATAACTTTTAAGGGCCTTAAATGCCACCAAAACTAAACTGGTCTCTAAAACATGTCAAGAGACTGACTTGTAACGAATGAGGAAAAAACGAAACTTCCAATTGCTATTGTGCAAGAGATGCCCCTTTAGGTAACGCTCAAACCACACCGCAAGGTTTCTGTAAAAAGAAGAAAAAAAAATAAAGGTTTTGAGATGTCCATTTCCAGCTACAACCGCCAGGCACTTCCCAACTACTTTCTGAGAGGTTTTGTTGTGTTCGGATATCATACAACCACAGAAACCTTATGAATGATAGCCGATTCACCTTGTTATCTTGCATTTTCATGTTGTAATATCATCAAGATTTCGAGACCTAATGTGCACATACCTGCTAGAGACTAGACACCTGTAAGGTGCTATTTCCATCAAATAGAAAGCATACTTCGTTGAATATAAGAGAGAAAGAGAGAGAGAGAGTAAAGCATCTCATACCTGTTAAAACACCGGAACAGCCAATAAAATAGACTTAAAATCAGACAGTTGAAATAATTACACCCCAGCTCTCATAAACTTCACAGTTTGAATCCACATCTTTAGAGTTTACAAATAGACAGAGGAGAGCAAGTACTATTCTGTCAATAAAATTTTAAATGCATGCATATCTGTGTGTGTGTGTGTGTGTGTGTTAGAGAGAGAGAGAGAGAGAGGAAGGGTGTTTTTGGGGGTGTTGGGGGGCTTGGGCTTGGGCTTGACTGGACAGGAAGAAGATCCTATCCATCTCAGGGTCTGTGGAATCTGGATTTGCAGAAGGCTTCTGCACCATTTCCTGATAAAAGTTTGTCAGAATGGACAAGACTTTATTAGAGATGTTCAACACAACGAGGTTGGCGGCCAAATATAACTACTCTCAAGGCCCGAAGCAAGTCAGCATCACAACCTTAGCTCCACTGCAAATGGCACCCGTTACGCACACCCTAAATATGTGCTCTCAATATCCAAAACAAACAGGATCAAGAATTTGTCCACTTTCGGTCATGATATCCTCCACAAAAAGTTCCCAATCAACAATTAGTCATGTCAACATATCAGCCAACTACAAGACCCACAGCCTAGTAGCTTCCCCATCATGGAGAAGCATTCCACTTAAAAGTTTGCCCATGCATATAAGGCAGCAAAACAATTGGTTTTGCTACACAAGTAATTATGTCATGGACACTAGGATTCTCATTTAGGACAAGACAATGATGAAAGCTTAATGTCACTAGGATGAAAATGTATTTCTAACGTGAAAGGCTACATCACTAAAAGGAAACTTATGTACAAAGGCCTGTCGATGGTAAAAAAATCAACCATGGATGTTCCGCACCAGCGCTTGCAGATACATCTAACATCGATTGAAAAAATTTGACCTTGCACTCACTGAGCATTAAAAAGAGTACTCAGTTCTAATGATAAGATGCAGTACCAATACATAGCGTTACAAGCTTCAGACTAAAAATAACTAGCCCATTTAACTAGCCTAGTAAAAAATAAACTCATGAACACAAAATAACGGGCCACTTAAATTTGCAACTTCAATCCATGTGGTAAATACAGAATTCCTGGCATGCTTATATTCTTAAGTTCTGAGAGGCAGGATTATTATGATATCTTAATCAGGATTAACAAAACAAATTAGCTGCACGTTTCAACAGAAATAAGAGAAAGGAACAAAATACTATTAAAAAAAGGTTTGACCTATTCTGACTAAATGAAAACTGTAATTAAGGTACAAGGACATATTTAACTGGAACAGTTTCCAATGGGTTTAACCCCAGAAATCTCTTTTAGCAAATTTCAACGTGAAACCACATGATTATGGGAAAAAAGAATGGGAATGAACTATGTGCTTATGCCACACAGGATGCAAATGAAACTACATGATTGTGGCCTAAAAGGATCGGAACTGGAAGATAGTTTGGGAATATGGTAGGCATCACTGATCATCGGTAAGTGATCTCTTAAATGCCAAAAGGATGTACACCTGAAAATTAATTCAGGGGTACCACCCATCACTGACATATCAGTAACTTTCCAAACCAAGTATAGTATCTGCTAAATGCTGGTCACCAAAAGCAGTATGCTTTTGTGCTAACCACAGGAGAAAATCAGGGGAAATTAAGAGACCATCTATAAAAGCAAACTACTGAGGATAGTAAGCTTGATGGTACTGAGGTGGGAAACCATATCCACCATAAACAACTGACCTATCATAGTAACTAGGTCGCGTGGAGGTTTCAGAAGGGTATAGACCGGCTACAGAAGGGTCTATATGGGTCCCTGGCAACCCATAAATGCCAGCAGATGTGCCTCCATATGGGGCAACAGCAGGAGTTGAGCCTGCCAAGCCATAGGCTGCTGCAGATGTACTGAGGTATGGATCTGCCAATAAACCTGCCATCTGCATATGAGGTTGTTGGACTGTTGGAACAGTTGGATAGGTAGCAACATTCTTTTGGAATGTAGACCTGCCAGCAGCTCCAATCTTCCTACTCTGCTTACCTACATTGGGCTTCTGTTGTTGAGCTTTGACTGCAGGGACAGGTGCAGGTCGCTTCTTACTTGTCCTTTCTTTTTCTAGCTTCTCAACACGCTTCAGAAGGATGTCCTTTGAATACTGAGATTCCAAATTGTGATCTTCAATAATTCTAATGACTGATTTGAGCGAGCTAATTTCTTTTGCAGCTGCCTCATTCTACAAGGAAGAAGGAATGGGTTACTTGAGCAACTTAGGCAGATTTCAATCGGTGAAGAAGTCTACAGAAGACATGTTTAAAGTATAGTAGATTACTAAAGATTGACGAGAACTCTTTCCATCCTTGCGAACTTTCTGAGCAAGTTTCTTTGAATCTAATACATAGTTTTCAGCAAAGGCACCGGTTGGGAACCTGTCCGTCATCTCAAATTGGAATACGAACTTAACAGCCAAAAGATGTTTGCCCCGCCAATAAGTTTCTGAATTATGTCTGTCACAAACAAGCGAGGAAAAATATATTTATCAGACAATTCAGAAGAGATTCAGCGGTAATCAAGAGCATATTCCATAAATGCATTACATTTTTCTTATTAGAGTATGCAATCATTTGTGTAATGACTAACAAACTTTAAGGCTTAGCCTGATGCAAAGATAATTAAGACAAAACTTGCAGGGACTTCACAGCTTAGTCCGGCTCTGCTCT